GAAATCAGGACATAATGTTACACAAAATGGACTGTATAATATGGTAACTTTTTAACAAAAGAGAAATGCTGACAAAAGTGTAACAAACACATGCAAAAAGGGTAGAAGACCATGGATTTATCATCTTATCATTGGTATTTGAAGATTGCATTAAACACCATACAACATTTATTTTGCCAACTGCCAAGTCAAGTTTACCTTACCTTACCTTACCTTGAAGGTCATCGGGATAGAAAAGGCCACTTGGCCTATAGGTCCCGTTCTCACCGAGTTACTTGCAGAGACATTCAGGACTCGTAAGGTTGTGGCATGACATACATTAGGTGGGTCCAGTGATGGTCGAGTCGTGCCTTGAATGTCGAGAGTGTTTCGGCTGATACGACCTCAGCAGGTAGAGCGTTCCAGTCGTTGATGATGCGGACGCTAAAGCTGCTTCGTCGGGCGAGAGTCACAGCTCGGGGTTTGAGCAGCTTCCATCCGTGTCCTCTCGTCAGCTCGGTCTCGTTCTTGGTGAAGAAGGTCGTTGCCGGCACATCGATTCCACCGTGGAACAGCTGGTAGACCGTCAGCATGTCTCCCCTGCGGCGGCGGTAGAACAACGACGGCAGTCGGAGACGCTCCAGACGCTCGGGGTAGGGAAGGTGCTTGATGGATTCCACCATACGCGTGGCGCGTCTCTGGACCTTTTCTAAGCGTTTCTGGTCTCCTTTGCTGAACGGTCCCCAGACGGCGTTCCCAAACTCCAGAAAGGGGCGGACGAGAGCCTTGTAGAGCAAGGGTAGGGTCGTCTCATCGATGTGAGCGAAGGATCGCTTGATGACCGCGAGCAGCTGTGAGGCTTTTGAAACGGCCGCGGCCGTTTGCGTGTGAAACTTCAGCTCAGAGTCGATTATGATCCCCAGATCCCTTTCTTCGTCTACCACAGCGATGGGCGTCCCGTTCAGCCTATATTCGTGTGCAGGGTTTCTTGAGCCCATGTGCATCACCTTACACTTTCCTGCGTTGAACGGCAGCAGCCACCTTGAGGACCATCGTGCCAGAGCGTCCAGATCACCCTGCAGGCCAGCACCACGATCGGATGGATTTGTCAGTGGCTTGTATAGCTTCGTGTCATCCGCGAACATCTTCATATTGCTTGAGACCTCTAGTGGCATGTCGTTGACGTATATTGTGAACAGCGTCGGCCCCAATACTGAACCTTGGGGGATACCGCTGGAGACAGGTGCCCACTCCGAGTTGCAGCCCTGAATCAGCACCCGTTGACGACGGCCAACTAGGAAGGTCTGTATCCAGGTGAGAAGTTTACCTCCGACACCATACGACCTCAGCTTCTCGAGAAGACGTTTGTGCGGCACCGAGTCAAATGCTTTGGCGAAATCTAGGTAGACCACATCCACCGGGGTTCGGCCTTCCAAGGCAGCGGTCCAGTCTTCCAGTACCTCAAGCAATTGGGAGCTACACGAACGCTTTGCCAGGAAACCATGCTGAGCTCTGTGAAGCAGGCCGTTTGCTGACATATGGTGCAGGAGCTCATCCCTGATGACAGATTCGAGGACCTTACAACAGACGGATGTCAGGCTCACCGGTCTGTAGCTGGATGGTAGGCGGCGATCTCCTTTCTTGAATATCGGAGTCACGTTGCCGATCTTCCACTCTGGGGGGACATCCCCGGAGTCCAGCGATTTCCTGAAGATCCAGCTCAGTGGGTGGGAGAGGACGGCTGCATTCTCCTTTAGTACGCGAGGGTGAAGGCCATCGGGTCCTGGCGAGCTGTGTGCCCGCAGCGCTGCCAGCTTAGTGTGTACCCGTAGCGGGGAGATTTCGACGTCCTCCAGAAGCGGTCCGTGATGGGGGCGCTCCAGGACAGGGATGGTGTCTGACGCTTCTTCGACGAAGACGCTACTGAAGTATCTGTTCATGGCGTTAGCTTTTGCCTTATCAGAAGACACCGTTTCTCCATTCTCGTCTTCTAGGTCGCCGATGCCATTTTTGGTCTTGAGGCGTGAATTTGCATACCGCCAGAAGCACTTCGGGTTATCTTTGATTGACAGTACCAGCTTTTGCTCATGTTGTCTCCGGAGGGCTCTGGTCACGTTCCTCAGGTCGTTTCGACACCTGACGTACCTGGCGTGATCAAGTTCATCGTGGCTTCGGCAGTAAGTGCTCCACAATAGCCTTTTCCTTTTCCTTAGTTGGAGGGCTTGGCGGTTCATATATATGTTATGGTCAGAGGCCTTCTTTCTGATGCTGGAGCATGACTCAATGGCTGCACAGATTGACGAGCTAAAGAAGGTGTGAGCTTCTTGAGTACTCATGTTCCTCATCACCGCCCAGTTGCACGATTCAAGCACATTAGTCAATGAACGATAGTTGGTGCGAGAATACATGCGTGGCAGCGAGGATGGCGCAGGTGCGTAGCACATCAATGTGAAGGTGACCAGCAGTTTACAGTTGGACAATGAGCTACAGGGTTATCAGTCACTTTAAGGTTAAAAAAGAATTCCTCTAGGTGAAAATACCATTGAATTATTATTAATACCAACAGTCATCCCCACCAAATACTGCAGCTCATCCTAGGTGCATCATAGGGTTGGCCAGTTGTGGATAATGTATGGTGTGACTCAAACAAATGAAGTAAAGACTTACCCGCCAGCAAACAAGTGTACAAATGTATCCCGGCTTGCCATGCTGAGTACTGTTACGGTAATGGTTTCACTTGCAAAAAGTTTCCTCAGAAATTGAAAAGTCTGTTCCTGGTCAGTTTCTTTTCAAGCTGACTTATACTGAGACCAGCATACTGACCAAATAGGCCTCCTTCAGGTCAGAGCTCAAGCTTGAGCTGGAAGATCAGTAGGCGGAACTATGGTCATGAGTACCCAAATATAGGAACGTTCCCATTTTTGGGAACGGAGTTCCCAAATATGGGAACGGGCGTTCCCATTTATGAGAACGGAAGGCAATTTTTCGGCCGTTCGCCCACTAAAACTCAAAAGTGCATCACGTCTCAAAAAAGTGCACGCTGATTTAAGTATCTACTAAATTTCCATAAAGTTATCTTTAATCTGACCGTGGAACAAGGAAATTGACCGTGGAATGATATTTTTAATGATTTTTTAAAAATGACAGAATGGTGGAAATATGGGTTATACGACATTTAACATGCAATTTTAAGGAAAATGAAGCATTTTTTACATTTTGAGGTCAAGTATAATAATTTTCGCCTGGTTATGAAGTTTCATTCTAGCGACACCAGATGCTGACATATGCAAGCGAACACGCGGACAGTCCCGAGGTAATATTGTTGACTTTTGGTGTCGGGGCGATCGACCGCGTGGAACGTCAGTGATTTTACCGAACTACTGTTGTAAACTCAGTTTCAGTGGTTTAAAATCATTCAGCTGTATTTTATCAGCCCTGAAAGACATATTTTATTTGGATGCTAGCTGTTTAGCGTTGTTTTATAAGCAGCGTCATGAGCGTGGTTTTTGTCTTCGGCGTTTCTAAGCATGATCGTTTGGTGGGAATTTCTCTGATATAGGTCGCTCTGTGTGGCTTATTTATAATTTTTATGCTGATTTCGATCATTCCTCGTGCCCATCCTACCAGGCCTTTTGCCACTTACACTCATTAAGAAAGGAAAAAACTAGATTTTCATTGGGACTAGGTGTTTTGAGGGTGTAACATATTCAGCGTTCCCATTTTTGGATACTTCTTGTGCTCTTCAACTCTCGGTGATTAGCAGACAGGTGCTTGACATGTCTCCACCCTCGGCGCGGACGGTGGATATAGGTATGGAAGACCTTGTTGAACATTGCTGAGCGTTGTGGATTACGTAATCCTGCAGAGGGGGGCGTGCCCGCTGCGAGATCGACGGGAATAAAAGCGCAGAAGACCGGGCGAAACATGCAACGGTCTTGCCGGAAAGGTCATCTGATGATTGTTGCGTTAATAATAATTTGCGGCGTTGGACGTGATGCTTGTTAATGAAAAGAGCCCCTGAAAGGCGTCGGTGAAATCGTTCCCAATTTTGGGTACGCCGTTCCCATAATAAGGAACGCTTGCAGCGCCAGTGTACGAGAGCGTTCCCAAATTTGGGCTCGCGGCCCGGGTGATGGACTGCTTTAGAAATAGGGGAACGATTTGTAACTACGATGGGCCTTACAATATCAAACTCTTTCCCAACAATATTGAGACAACTATCAGGCGGTTCACGATCGTTTTATATTTTTTGGACGTCATTTAACGGTTCTTTTTTTTGTTTTAAATAATGCCTACATGGCGTTCCCATATTTGGGTCTATCGTTCCCAAACATGGGAACGAAAATGCGTTCCCGAAAATGGGTACGCTTGACCATAGTTCCGCCTACTGAGATTTAGATTGAGATTTGAGATGAAACAGTGCTCCTTCAGAGCTGGATAGACCGTGAAAAATCCTTCAAAAATGAAAACACTGGAAATATACACAAATCACAAGCTCAGTTACAAAATTATCACACCCACTTGCAACAATTCTCCCATCCCACTGCCCACACAAAACTGAAAACGCTTCATTCACTTCAATCACCGACCCCCAAGGCCATCTTCTTCTTCTTTGTGGGTTAGGGCGCGCAGCCGTCCCCAAGGCCATGCGTATTTTGATGTGTTAATACATTTCTGGCGCTATTGTGACAAAAGAAAACATTGCAATATTCTCTTCTTTCTTTTTTTGTATCCATAAATGACGTCATAGAACTTAAAAACGATTCCCTTTCTGGATCAAAACTTCATAACAGACATCTATCTCACAAATCCAATCATTATGAAAAAAGCGTTGCAAAAATCGATCATTTTCTGACAGCAAATGGCAAAGCATGACTAATGGAAGCTTGACTGGCTGCAGCAGCAGCCTGCATTTGAAAGAATGATTTATGTTTGCTTGTTAGGCTTTCTTTTGGTTTGGACACTCAACTTGTGGTTATATGGAAGCGTATTTCATTTTTCATTGCTGTATATGACTCTTTTGCATTTAAAATCACAACATATTGTAGAAATATTGAAATAAGTCCTTATTTATGTCGGTATGACGTCATAGTATTATGTAATAGCTTAAGAAAAATGACACTCTCTAATACCTTGAACCCTGAACGATAAAGTAGACGTGTCGCAAGAGGGTGTGTATTTTCCTATTTTCTGCATTATTTTTATCATCAAGAATTGAATTAAAAATCATTGTGAATGTTGAAATGTGCCACGCTTGCGCTGAAGTCAAGGGGCATGGTGCAAACTGAGCACCAGGGAAAACGTTGCAAAGTTTAAGTTTGAAGAAGATTTTGGATTCAGTGACGCCAAAAGTCAAGTTGGGTGCCTAGGTAAATTGAAGCTGTCATAATATTTTGAAGATTGCAGGATTAATATTTCTTCAGATTCTTGTGAAACTTCTCAACAGAAATAAATAAAGTAGAGGTTAAGCAATTATAATCTAAGTTAAAGGTCAACAAGTTGAAGTGGTAATTAGCAAGATTTTTCCGAGGTTAGAACTTCAACTTCTTTCGATTGCATTAATGGAGATTGAGACAGATCACCCTGATATCGTGTGATTCACATGGCCATTGCTGAGCTGGTGACCTTGACATTTATGAACAGAATGATCTTTGGAACAAGCAGAAAGTCTTGTTTCTGTTAGGTGCACGTTTTGCAGCAATTTGTTGTTGTGAGCAATTTGTTGTGTTGTGAGCAACAAATTGGTCACAACTAATTGCTGTTGTGTTGTGATCACAAAGCTGTTGTGATTGAAGTGATATCAAAATTGATAAGTAGGTACCTTGGCTGGTGTTAATAAGTACCTCAATACACATGTTGGTTTGTTAGTTGTTATGTCAAGTGAAAATATATCTTGATTCATGGTGATTGATGCATTGGTACCTATGATAAATTATTTGTGCTGTGGTCAGTGGTGTGATGGCAAGCCCCAGTTCCAGTTGAGTATGAGGGGAGTCAATATGCTGGACCTTTTGATGGTGGCAGTGGCACACTGACTTCTTTGACCCTGTGCAGTAGAGAGCTGTGGGACTTGGGAGTGGTGTATCCCTTTCATGCAAATGATTGCAGGATCCATAGCTAATGCATTTTCAACATATTTTTTGTGTATGCCTAATCAGCTTACACTTTTTTGTACAGTGTGAAGCAGTGCATGTTATAAAATATGCATCTTTGGACTTTGGTTAGCTGAAGAACAGCCAAAGTCATCAATTTATTCAAAGCTGTGCTGTCTCAGGTACTGTAACATGATTTACCTCTCTTCCCAGGTCACCACTGGCCATCACCAGTCATGGCCATGACACTGATCGAGGGTGTCGGCGACGAGGTGACGCTGTTCTTTGTGCTGGCGCTGCTGGCGGTGGTCGCCTGCCTCGCCTGGTGGACCACCCGCGTCGCCGACCGGCCGCTCCGCATCCAGACCATCATCGTCGGCCAGCGCGTCATCCACGTGGACGAGAGCGGCGAGCCGACCACGGCAGCGGCGGCGGCGGCGGAGGGGGCCGGCGCCGGGCCGCCGCCGCAGCCGCCCCCGCCGCCGGCCGGGCCCACCGAGCCGGCCGAGCCGAGCTGCGAGGAGGACGAGGACGGAGAGGTGGAGCTGGTCCAGCGCGAGGACCTGGCCGGGGAGGCCGCTGCCGCGGACAGTCCGCACGGTGAGGGTGCTACTGGCGCCGAGGGTAGCGGGGAGGATCGCGTTACCGCGGCGGAAAGCGGAACAGCTTCCCAAGGAGCTGCCGCTGAGGGTGGCACAGAGGCCGTGAATACAGCTGATGACGGTGGATCAGAATCCTCGAATACACCTGCGGCGGCCGAGGACAGGCCGGAGAGTGCTCCTGAGGGCAGTGCGCCGAGTGACCCGGCCTCATCCAACCCCATTCCCGACCCGACGGACGATGTGCGGATGCAGCTGCGGCAGCGACGGCTGGCGTTCATGGCCCGTCAGGCGGCCGGACCGGACACTCGGTCAGAGGAGGCCGCGCGGACAGCAGCCGCGGACACGGAGAGGACAACACCGGACACGGAGAGAACAACAGCGAACACGGCTGAAAGGACCACAGCAGACACGGACAGGACTGCGGCGGATACAGCAGACAGGACTGCTACAGACACGACCGACCGAGCGGCGGAGACGGAGGCGCCGTCGGAAAACTCCCAAACCATCGTGGTGAAGCTGAAGTTTCTGAACGACACCCAACGACTGGTGGAAGGAAGACGCGCTGAACCGCTGGCCGATTTCAAAAGGTCAGTCTCGATGATGGGACCGCAGATTGCAGATGGGGCTCGTATTATCAGTCGAGTTCCAAGCGGCACTTGTCTGCTGCTAGGCATGGTACGACCGATTTTAACGTGTCGGGAAATGAGTTCCTAATTCCTCAGTGTGGCTTCACCCACCCTACCATATGTAAATACGTTTGATTGCGAAAAACGTAGCCCTTTGTAGTTTGTTGCACCCTGTTTGCTGTCTGACCTATCATTGGCTATGTTTCCATGACGCAAGTTAAGCCGATTTTTCAAAATGGATTTCCTCCATCATAACATTTAGGCAGCATTTCAAAATGCAAATATGGGATTAGGTGCTAGCTAAAACCGTATATACGCTCGTTTTTTGCATAAGGTTAATAGTATCCGAGAAAAATGCACGTGAATTTCTCTGAATCGATTTAGACGTGTCTTCATGACACGTCTAAATCGAATTGGAAACGTAGTGATTGCCTCATTGCCTGGTATGACTAAACCCCTGACGTCATATTTTCACCCCGTAGGCGCCACTTCCCCACGGAGACGGCCGCTAACCGGATCGTGCGCCTCATCTTCAACGGTCGCGTGCTGCCCGATCAGGAGACACTGAGCCAGTGCGGCCTGTACCACAACTGTGTGGTGCACTGTCACGTGTCGGCCCACCCGCGGCCGGCGGCCGGCGGGGGCGCGGCTGCCGGCGGCGGCGCGCCGGCTGAGCTGGACATCGGCGTGCTGCTCTACCCGGTGCTGACGTCAGTGGTGACGCTGGTCTGGGGCCTGCGGCTGCGCTACCCGGAGCTGTTCAGCGGCACGGCCGTCCTCCTGCTGGCCGTGCTCACCCTGCTGCTGGCCTGTTTCGCGGCGGCCACCTTCCTACCCCTGGACCGGCTGCCGGGCGGCGCGGCGGCCGCCGGACGGCAGCAGCAGCGGGGACGGTAACCGGGCGCCGAGCGTGCAGCTGGATCGCCCAGGGCGGCGGACATTGGACAGTGCGCGGTAGTTGAGTGAGCAACGCCAAAGTTCTAGAGGTGCGTTGCATTTGTGTTAGGAGAGCTGATAAAGCCGAGCTGAGTCTCCCAAAGGCCTCAGCCATTGACACAATTCGCGGAGCTTATCGGTAAGACGATACACCTTATTGGTAAGGTGATAGGTTATTGGGGAGGAAATAGGCTATCATCTGGAGAATATGTCGGATATGGCTGAACACCGAGTTGGCTGAAACCCAAGGCATTCTTGGAAGCTGATGACCGAAATAGTGGAGCTATTGACTATGACTAGTGGGTGACAATTCTTACGAAGCCTGAGACTCGCAACAGTCCATGCGTTTAGAGAGGTGCAGATCTAGCGGTCTATATCGGCGATACTGTTGTCTGGCTCCAGAGCTTTAGGTCCGTCGCATGACGGACCCATCACCAGATTGCGTTTAGGCACGCGGTATTGCGTCCGGGTTAGGTGAGGGGCAGGGCGGCTGGTTTCGGGCGCTTCCAGCACCACCCACGGTGACTGGCGTCAACCCGAAGACCCGCCGGGGCCGGCAGGCGAGGGGAAAGCCTGCCGATGCCGTCTGTGGGAGCGTGTGTGCCGTTTGGTGTCTGTGATACGTGTTCTGGGACTGTGTGTGCGTGGTCTTGTGTTGCGATTCGGGATCCACCGGGGCAATTCCATTCACTCACTAGCGTTCCCCTTATTCCTTCTTGGTCTTCTAGAAGGCCGAGTTTCCACATAAATCCGTGTTTATTCTCGTAGGCACGTCTTACGAGCGAGGAATGCGAATTGTGAGTCGACTGCTCGCGTTAAGTTATTGTAATAATAATAAACGAAACTACCTATTACGAACGTCGGTATGTCCGTCACAGCTGCGAATTTGTGCTAACAGCAAAATCACAGCACCGGCGTAAGTGTGACGCGTCTAAGTCGAGTGCAGCAGCGCGCGAGGTCGACAAAAATCACAGGAGCGATCACCAATTAGTTACGAGTGCGAACGGACGGACGTCGTGTCCCTCCCCTCTCCCCTCCCTCCCCGTCCCTCACTTTTTCACCCGCTGCGGGACTGGCACGCCCAGTGCGACACACACCTCATCCCGGACCGGGCGCACCGCGTCCACGGCCTCGTTCCAGTCTGTGTCGCTGAGCAGGCTCTGGGCGCGCTCCAGCGCCTCCTCGGAGACGCCCTCCAGCTCTCCGTGCGTCAGCAGCGTCTCGAAGAGGCCTCCGGCGGCGGCGCGTCGGATCCGCGGGAACCGGTGGCACAGCAGCACCATCAGCTGGCCCAGACAGCGGCGCTGCACGGCCGCCGGGAACTGCATCAGCGCGCACAGCAGGTCCACGCCGGCCAGCAGCTTGTGCGGCTCGCCGCAGCGGGCCAGCTCGGCGCGCACCTGGGAGGTCAGCAGGTCACCCAGCTCGGCGTCCGAGAACAGCGGGTCCAGCAGACCTGGCAGAGGGAGAAGGGGGTGGTTACGGCAGAGCCCACCAAAACTGGCGAAATGTGCAGGGGAGGTCACGGGAAGGACGGCAGACCTGTAGGACGGTGTAAGAGGAGGGGTCACGGGAGAGTCGCGGCTATAATTCAGTAAGTGGTGTGGCTCATCCTGTAAATAAGAGGTGATAAGGCGGCTGGAAGGGTCATGAAACTGCGTGATAGCAGTCATTCGCGATGATTACGCAAGTTGATCATCCCATCCGACACTGGTTCCAGACCTCGCCATCCCATCCCGTTCCAACCAACCCCTTCCCTCCGCTATACTTTAGGGCCTTGCGCTATACTGACCGCAGTTGAGCAGCGGCTCCAGTGCGCGGATCACGGACAGGGTGACGCGGTCCTGCCGGCGGTGCCGCTCCATCACGGCCGCCACCTCTCGGACGAACTCGGCTCGCCCCTCGTCCGGCAGGTGTTTGAGGTGCCGCTGCAGCTGCTCACTGGCCTGCTGCACCAGCCGCTCGGTGATGCCTCCGGCGCTGACCAGCAGGCCGAGCAGCACCGCCGGGCGGTACACGGGCAGCGCCAACAGACGCGACAGGCGCGGCAGCGTCTCCCGCTCCGAGCCCCAGTTGATGGAGGCGCACACGGACGCCGGCAGGATCTCCAGCAGGGCGTCCCGGTCGGGCACGCGCGGCACCGGCGGGTCGGCGTGGAGAAGTGCTGAGAGGGCCGCTCCGGCCACTGACCGGGTGCGGTCGATCTTCTCGACAGCCTGCTGACTGAGCCCGGTCATGGTGCGGCGAACCATGTCGTCCGAGAGCAGCTCCGGGCAGGCGCCGGTCACCATCAGAGTGACGCGCTGCGGGACAACGCGGAGAGGGGCGTTAGGGCCGTGGGCACAACGGATCAAGGGGAGCTGATAGTTGATACATTTCATGATGGGGATGTTAAACAGGAGGGTGGGGGCCTTCATATAAGGCTCAATCGCTTACCACAAGCTAGCAAATAACACGCAATGCTTCAGCCAGCACAAAAAGTAAGTTGTACAACGTATCGCTGCTAGACAATTATTTCCGCAATTTGTACTCGATTGCCTATCACCTTTCCAGCACCCCTGTGTGCCTCCCTCCTTCCCTCCCTCCCTCCTCGTTTCCCAGCATACCTGCAGTCCGGAGATGGCCGCCTCTCGGATCCAGGCGCCCACGTCTCCCCGGTTGTCGGACGTGTAGTCCTCCAGGCCGGTCAGCAGACAGTCGTAGATCTCCTCAATGTTGGCGGCGCACACATGACTAGAGCCTGACGGTGAGGATATACACATGCCGTGTCAGGGAGTGAGTCTTGGGAGACCGGGTGACACAGTGCACAGAACAGCGCAATGTAGATGAATAATCGAGGAGTAAAATAACCTGACAAACCGCCAATAACCCCAGTACCCCAGCTCCCCGTCCCCGGCACTGACCGTCGTCGCTGGCGTCGACGCCGACGGTGAGGCAGACGTCGGTGACGGCGCTGATGCCGTCGCGCCGACACTCGGCCCAGAGCCGCGTCTGCGGCGTGGAGGCGCAGCACACCAGCAGGTGCTTCAGCACGCGCTGCAGCTTCCCGGCGAACAGCTTGGCCGGCAGCGAGCCTGAAGGGGAGGACGGACGGCGGGAGGGTACAGTAACAGGACAGCAGCGGCGACAACGGAAACAGTACTAATTACACGTCGTTTGAACTTTGAATCTATGTAAAGGGTAGCGAAATACAGTAACATTGGCCCACGCGACAATCCCAGCAGCTTTTGTCACCGTGGATCTATCCATTCCCACTCCTCCACTCAGCTGCCGTAACCTGATGGCTATTCCTACTACGCCTACTGCGTTACTTACCTACGGCCAGTGCGAACCCGCGCCGGTTATTCTGGCTGTCGCTGTCCACCTCAGCCAGGTACCGGTCGAGCAGTCCGTCCCCGGCGGCCGAGGACGCGGCGTCCCCGTCCGTGACGTCTCCGCCGCCATCGGACGGGCCGGCCGTCACGTCCGACGGCGAGGCCGTGACGTAGGCGCGGGTGAACGCCGGCAGAGCGGCCACGGCGTACCCTCGGACGGCCTCCTCGCGGTGGGTCAGACAGTCGTCCAGCAGCGCCTGCCAGCTGGCTGCGGGGGCAGAGAGCGGGACAATCAGCTGGCTGCGGGGGCAGAGAGCGGGCGGAGTGCAGTCCACTGGTTGTGACGACGCGGCTGCACGGCACACATTACAGCCCAGGCGCTATGAGCATTCACACTCGGCGACTATCGGCAGCTGTGGTAGCTATCAGTAGGCCCACGCCCGTAGCAGTTCGACCGACCAACCAACCAAAGTCCAACAAACCAAATTACCGGCCTTACCAGCAATTCACCGTCCTGAGTTCAACTGCCCAGTGTCCAACCACCGCATACCCGGCCAACCTGTCTACCAACCTTGTTACTGACCGACCTGTTTTTATCAGCGCTATCGGTTCCAACGACCCGTCCAGCCTATCACAGTTCCGAGCCGTCCTCAGTAGTCCGTCCTACGGATTATTAGTACAGGATGACGGATCGAGACGGCTGCCACGGTAGGTACGGATGACGGACCGAGACGGTCGCCGCGGTAGGTACCGGCCGACTGAATACTGGTGGCCACCTGGTCCTGGTGCCGAGCCCACACCAGCACCAGCCGCGTCATGATGACGGCGCTCCTAGATGACTCACCACACTCCAGCCCCCCCCCCCCCCATACACACACACATCCAGAGGATGACGTTCCGACGCTCTATTCACGCAGATAATGAGACCGGACGGGAGTTAGCTAATAGGACGATTGTTTGAACGGTACAGGATGTGCGGATCGCTGATGAGTTACATTAGATGCATTCCATGACGTCGTCCGTTGTGTGGTAGGGATTTATTTGTTTCACTTTTTGTTTTGTTTCACTTTTGTACTTATTTTGTCTTTCTCTGTTGAATATAAATGAGTTGAGTTGAGTTGAGTTGAGTTGAGTTGAGTTGAGGGACTGGCAATGGGCTGTTTGATAACTTTTGTCTCAACTGTCAATATTCGTGATTCACTCTAGCTACAACACACAATGCTAACACCCCGACCTGCGCTGATTCCCTCTAATGTCGACCCGGGGGACAGGTGTGGGTAAACAAAGATGACTCACCGCGGTCACGGAAGGCAGGTCACACGGTCACCGTTTATAGCGGCACCTACGGACGGCACTAAACGGACAGCGGCGGCGAGGTATCGAAAACGGCGAATGTGGAACGCGGTAGCGGAGGGACGAAAAACGCGAATCTCAAACGTAATGCGCGATCTTATCCATGATTTACTTGATATGCGTGATTTTCCAGGAAAGACAATGGCTTGAAGAGACACCGCGAAATTTGTAATGAACAACTTCGAGCAATTTTGCGATAAAATAAGTGATACGGTCGTTACATTCGCAGATTTGGATCAAGGCTATAGAACTCCAGGTAAGGACACCAGCCGTTTGACCTTGAACGCCGCCGGCCGGCCGATGACGTCATTGGAGGCAAGCCGGCTCGGCGGACACACAGGGCGAATGCATAACGGAGGGGCGTTGGAACGTTGCGGGAGCCAGGGAGATATTTTAAAGTGGTTGCATACCACCATTGTTTGTTGATTGATCTACAGACTGCATCCTTTTAAACCTCGATGCATCCTAGGCCTGGATGGTGCGTACATTCGTGGAACGATCACCCCGTCCGACGTCCGTGGTCGAAGCTGTCATAGTATTTAAGACACTAAGACGGGTGCAATAACGGCGATCCGATCCCGTCTCTGGCGAATTTAGAGGGGTCGTAAGGACCCAGGCCGAATATGACCGTCTATTTTTAGGGAAACGGGGTGGGTGAATTGACAACCGATGGCTTAAGAGATGATGAGAAGGGATCCCGTCGTCGATTGTTGTTTGACAGACAACACATGTTGTACTGGGCGTATGACCATCAGAGGTAATGCCTGAACGTAGGCAAGCATAATTGGTCTGTCATATTGTTTAGGAATATAAAATGGTAATGGAGATCATTGAGGATATGATCTCTACATTACGGGAATTCACTAATTACTACGGCCCATAGGGGCACCGCCGGAGCTGTTGTTTTGCCATCGGTCCCAGGCAACTCCAGGGAGCTGCAGTACCCGGCGGCCAAAGCGGTCACCTCGTCGACTCGCAGGTCCTCTGGGATTCCGTGATGCTTTAGTGCTTCACCCACAGAAGCACGGGCATAGCAGTAGGATGTGGGGCTAGGTGTCTGTCCACCTCTTCATTCAAAGAACAACGTGTACAGCGCCTGGTCCCGCCGAAGCTCGGTATCGACCGTGACTTATTCACAACTGGCGGATCCAGGAAGCGGTATTGGACACTGCGGGGGCTTACCCCAAAAAGGTTTCTCGGAATTAATTTAAAAAAACTCGGATTTCGATTCCTTGCCACTACTGTGCGGTGTGATTAACCAACATTTCCGCAGAAAAGTTGTGAAGTTTTCATTTATTCTCGAAAATCGATTTCGGGCGCTGCCCTGGTTGTTGGGGAAGACATTTGCCCCAAATGCCTTCCCCTGGATCCGCCAGTGGCCGTTGCCCCACTCCGAGCTTGACTAAAGACGTCTTCAAAGTTCAAACCTCACCAGAAACCGATGGTAAGGTGAATTTAAATCCAATAACCCATCTCTGTCTGCCCGCCTAAATATACTACACATGGTACAGCACCCGGCCCTGTCGGAGCTTTGAGCCGATCGTGATATTTTCGGCTTTCCCCATCCCAAGCTCGATTAGAAACGTTCTCCTTCCCCACCCGATTGCTGATGTCAATTCAAATTCAATGCCTCATTGTATCGATAGTACATGAACCTCCAGGCTCCACGAATCAAACTATAAAAACAGTTACATTTAAGGCGTACCGGTTTCGTCTATTGACTTCTTCAGCGCCGTATGCATATACGGCGCTGGTATGGTATGGTATACGGCGCTGAAGAAGTCAATAGACGAAACCGGTACGCCTTAAATGTAACTGTTTTTATAGTTTGATTCGTGGAGCCTGGAGGTTCATGTACTATCGATACAATACTTGTCCATCAATGCCTCATCTCTGTCTGCCCGACCATAACCCATTCATTGCACACCGTTCAGCGCCCGGCCCCGCCAGAAGTATCCTAGCGCGCTGAGCACTGAGCAGTTGCCTCCAGCCGCGTCATCGCGAGGCCCCGCGCGGCCCATAAACGAATACATTGCGCGAATAGCCGTGTCGCCCCCCTGATTTGGATCCTAAATGAGCAATCGCGTTGGGAAAGAGCTGTCGTAAAAATCGTTCAAATCACGTGCTTTCAGGCAACAATGGTCCCATCAGCTGACTTCAGTGTCCTAAAAAGAGGACATTCCTTCGCTTTTCACCAATATTCCTATTCGGATACCCTTGTTTTGAGTGCTTGTGCACCCCGACAGTGCGAATATTGTCACACAAATACGCCTTAGCTAAGTAGGAAAAACGCCAGTCATGGAGCGACGATGTGCTTTTAATGCATCAGACCGGTACCAACTACCAAGCACCCCTAAAAACGAAGGAAAGCAGAACCCGCGGTCCATGCGTCGCGGGTAGTCGCAATACTTGATTCACTTTGTAGCGGCATGCCATTCACCATCTCGTGGAGACTCACCCATCACTTTCCTGTTATGGCAGTTTCTGTCCCACCATGTACTGTTTGAAGGCCGCCTGAGGAAGGCTTTTCAAGTAAATGAGTTGGGCCGGGGCGAGATTGGGTCATAGAGGAAAATGTGCTTATTATCCCGAAAACATGAAAATGAAGATTACACCCTATCCGCGCAACTCGGCCACGGTATCCTCCCCCCGTCCCTCACCTATGGTGGGTGTATTTCTGAGCGGCAGCTCTGCCTCGGCCGTAGTTAGCTGTGTGCCCCACTCACCTATGGTGGGTGTATTTCTGAGCGGCAGCTCGGCCTCGGCCGCTGTTAGCAGCGTGTGTCCCCCTCACCTATGGTGGGTGTGTTTCTGAGCGGCAGCTCGGCCTCCGACACTCGGTGTCCCCGTCCCTCACCTATGGTGGGTGTATTTCTGAGCGGCAGCTCGGCCTCCGACGCTGGGTCCCCGTCCCTCACCTATGGTGGGTGTATTTCTGAGCGGCAGCTCGGCCTCCGACGCCTTCCTGATGAGGTGGCAGAGCGCGTGCCGCATCAGCTCCCCGCCCAGGCCGCGCAGCATCTGGCGCCGGCCCAGCTCGTCACACAGGCCGGCAATGAACTGCTGTGTCGCCGAGTCTGTGACAGAAAAATACACAGAGGTGGTGGTGGTGGGAAGACGTACAACAGATTTAATGCAAAAAGGACGACAAACAATAGAAAAAAGAAAAGAGAAGCTGAGAAAAGAAGTAAATGGCTGTTTCTTTAGGAAAAAATAAAACAATCGGAACCCATGAACCACCGACAAGAAAACTAGCAAAAATTGTCACCAAGCCAAATGCCACCTTTTGGATTCAGCTACCGAAAATCTGCCAACACTTTCAACTACTTAACATCCATGATGTATGTGACCATCAGATCAGTCCAGTGATTCCCTTTCCACCCATCTCCCGGCGCTCCGTACCGATGTACTGTGTGGCGTCGTGTCCGTGGCGTCGGGCGTGCTCGGAGAGGGCGTGCACCACCTCCGCTACGGCCAGCACGGCGCCGTGGCGCGCGTTCAGGTCGATACCCAGACAGTGCGGTCGGAGCATGTCCATTACGTAGCCGGCCGTGTAGTCCACCGCGCAAGGCGTAAGGTTGTGCAGCGCCTGCAGGCGCGGAGGGGCGCCGGGTCATCACTCACTCACGGGCTGACAGCGGTGAAGGATGTCAGCCAGCTGGTCAGCTGCACTGCCAGAACTGGCTTAAATAAAAGACCTAAATTTGCATCAAGTCATTCTATGAAGCTTTGGGTTATTCATTACTCCAAAAATCTAAGCAGCAAATTAGCCAAGACCCGATGTCCACAGACACTCAGCAGAAGCTGGGCAGATTGATGACTGACCTTGGCTGTGACCTCCCGAATGGCGCCGTCCCAGTGGTTGATTTTCTTCTCCAGCAGGTGTGATATGAGCGGCTTGGTGTACTCGGGAAACTGGCCCACGAACGTACTGCAATATAGCGCAATCAGAGTAGTAAGCGCCCAAACACTCCTAAATAATGATCGAATTAGTTCACGATGCGCGCTGTTTCAATTAGGAACACTGTAGCTGCCATAATGCCTCAATGAAGGAGACACAAACACAAACACAAACCTGAGCTGTGTGAAGGAGGCGGCCCGGTTACCGACGGCAAAGTAGTCGACCGTGGTGAGTATCTCGATGCCGTGCGGGAAGGTGCCCTGCCGTCCGACGTTCTCCTGAAAGGCCGCCGACGCCGCGCGACGACAGTTCACCTGCGGATATACGGCACGGCGATGTGTTATCAGTGACGTAAGATGTGGTAGGGGACGGACACATGACACAAGGAAACACATGAAACAGAAACGGTGTTCATCACTTCGACCTGAACGCACTGGTGGCTCAGCGTATACTCGATAAAAACACTTAACGATAAATATTCCCCTATACCGACCCGATACAGGAATACAGGACTGATGCGTCTGATAGCGTCTGATAACAAAACAAATGCGTGGCACATCAAAATATGATAATATACAACATAAGCTTCCATTCCCCTCTAACCTAGCTGGTGTCCCCAGAGACTGTTAAATTCCCGGTAACTACCTCTCGGTCGAAGAGCGCCACGCAGAGCAGCGCGGGCGCCACCTGGAGCGCGTACTGCCGGAAGTGGTCGGGCTGATAGGCGCGCGCGAACGCCCAGCACACGTAGCAGGCGGCGTCTCGGACAGCGGCGCCCACCGAGTAGTTACCCTGGAGCTCGTCATAGACGAGCGCGCGCAGCAGGACGGGTATCACCTCCGGCAGTCGGGAGAGGGTGAGCAGGCCGCGCCGACCTGGCCGAGAGAGGGAGGGGAGGTCAGACAAGGAGAATGGAAGAGGGAGGAGAGGGAGAGAAGAAAGGAAACGGATAGACAGAGACAGCTGGGCCCTTGATTCGACCAGGGAAGAAGAGACTAGCCGTTCGTGAATGGAGGTGATATAGAAAGGAAGAGACATAAAGAAGAAGAAAATGCAGTGGATAGAAATATACATTACACACAATATACGTAGGCACATTTGAAATCCGGTCAGCCTGGCCCCTGCAACCGTCGCTGAGATAGCAAGTCGGACACTGGCCCACCGTTATTCACTTCGAACATCCGAACCGACGACCGACGACCGGTGACCTACCGAGCTCGGCGAGCGCCAGACAGCCGCCGTGCCAGGCCGGCATGTTGTCCCGCAGCGTAAAGATGTCCATCAGGCTGTCCAGCACCTCGTCCGCCAGCGCCTTCGGCAGCCGGTTGGTGATGCGGCCCACGCCTTTCGCCGCAGACCATCTGCGAGGGACGAGACAAATGAAAACAACGTAGCAAACAAAAAACCCAGAAAACCACGGAGAATAAAAAATGAACAATATGGTAGCGTTGCAAAGCTGTTGCGATGCATCCCCTTCCCGCAGCGACTGCGCCAGCCGGCCCTCACCTGACCACGGTGTCCTTATCCCTCAGCGCCTGCAGCACCGCCTCCAGCACCTCGTCAATCTCCTCCGGCACGTCATAGCTCTCGTCCTCCTGGCCCACACCACCACCGCCGTCGGGCGCCGAGCCGTCCCCGGCGGGGGTGCCCTGCAGCAGACCAGCGGCCAGGGACCGCTGGCCGCGCTCGTACCGCCAGGCGGCCACTCGGGTCGGCAGAAATGTCAGACCTGGAGACGGGAGACAGAGTTATTTGGAGAGTCAGATCGGCTGAGAGCCTGAGAGACGTCATTGGTAATTCATTCAGATCGGTACTTATGCTGACTTCCGTACAAAGACTCTTCAGTGACACAAACAAACCAAAGCACAAATAAATGAACGGTCCTTACCCCGGCCCTAAATCACGACATGAATTTAATCTACCACCGAATACACAATAGCTACCGTCTTAATTCCCTTACATCCATCTCAAATTCTCCTTAAAGTCAAACTTAAAACATTATCCACTCCATCCTCCTTCCACGCCCACAGCTCTACCTTCTGAACCAAGTCACCACTCACCGACGCGCTGGACGGATTTGAGCGCCAGTTTGCGGATCTGCGTGTTGGCGTGTTCGAGTCGACCGGAGGCGAGCAGTCGGCGCAGCACACCGGGCGCCAGGGGCAGCAGGTCGGCCCTCTTACCGTGCTTGAACACCGCCGCCAGACAGCCGAGGGCGCCCAGCAGCGACGGCAGCCGCGCGTCGTCCGACTCACATGTCTGAGGGGTGGCGGTGGAGGGGGGGGGGGGTGCTATGCAGACAAGATTTTCCGACGTAGCAGACAAAGCACGAGCTAAATAAAGACCAACACCAAACTATTTCATCCGGAATTCCGTTAGCACGGCCGTTCACTTCTGATTAGGGTACAGTGTGACGATCGATGCTTTTGATACATCTGAACACTAACTGAGAACAGCTGATCAGCTGCTCTTCACATACTCAATACACACATGATACGAGAAATGATACATGCTACACTCATACACCTTGGCTCACCTTCAGTGTCCAGTCGATCAGCTCGGGCAGGAAGCGCTGCACGTTGTCGGGCCGGGTGACGAAGCGGGCGGCCACCAGTCCGGCCACCTCGCGACACTTGTCCGTGGCGTGCAGGTACACCTCGGTGACGCGCATTATCCGCTGGGCGATGGGCTCCCGCTGGCCGTCGTCAAACGACGTCATGTTGAAGGGGATGATGACCAGGATGGCCAGCCATAGCAGCAGCATGTAGCGCGTGGCCCAGCAGTCGGTGTCCTCCGGATTCTGACGCTCCAGGCACTGCAGCACACGCTCCATGTCGTCCACCTGGCGGCCGGCACCCGAACTAGTCAGAGAGACGAGCACAGGCAGCACGGCCGGGCACGAGCACGCCCGTGGCCGTTTGAGCGGGATGGTCAAAGTAATATAGGATCCCCCAAAAATAATGGAGTGGCCTTATTATCCCGTACACAGAGCCAAAAGTTACACTAAAATGGGACCTTGACTACAGCGATTGGCAGCAGTGCTGGAAATGCGGCCGCTTTCTGGTCCCGGCGTTTTATTCTTCGGGCGGGTTAATCCCGTCCAGCGTTTAGCCTTTCGGGACCCACTCAGTCTCGTGGCTGTTTTCGCCGCTCGCCGCAGTCGAGATGCAAAGTTAATAGTCACACGAAGCTTATTTAGGGCCCGCCAACAAACCAGCTTAGTCTGGAGTTACTGTTAAATGTATGCATATAGCTGAAAGAAAAGGGTTTTGTAGAATCGATTTATTTCGAAGTCGCATATTCAGATGCCCCAAATAAACTTCGTGTGACTATCAACTTTGTATCTCGAATGGGCCGAGCCGCAAAAACAGCCGCGAGTCTGAGAGGGTCCCGAAAGGCTAAGCGCTAGACGGGGCTAACCCACCCGGAGAATAAAACGCCGGGACCAGAAAGCGGCCTCATTTTCAGCACTGATTGGCAGCGTAATTGGTAGGTAGTTACAGAAATTATCTAGTCGCACATCCATGCGACTTCTGATGAGTCACGTGTAGCATGATATATGCGACTCCTGACCCAAGCTTCTGAACAGGATGTTGGTGTGAGCAGTCTAAGCTAGGAGGAGTTGGTGGGTGAGACCATATTTATCAGACTATATGCTCAGTAAATTCTAGCGCCTAAATACCTCTGACAGCCTGTACTTCTCTGATCTGGAAGTGGAGGTCAGTGTCAGCATAACAATCTCGGCTCAGCCAAATGTCTTACCTCATGCGGCATGTGCCGAACCATGGATTTAGGGCCGCGCAGTTTGACGATCATCACCATGTACTTGAACGTCACATGGACCAGGTTCTCATGTGCTTGGAAATTATCTAGGTGGGCAAACAGTGCAGCCAGCAGTGACTCCAGATCCTTGTCAAGCAGGTGAGGCTGCTCCTGATAGTAGTCAAGAATTGTAGTGAAGCGCTGAAGGCGCGCCTCCACAAGGCCGGCATCTGTGTGAATCTCGGGCAGCTCGGCAATCAGTGAACGCACCTCCGGCAGGTCTTCAAACCGCTCCAAGGCACAGCCCAAACCGATGTTTTCCATGTCATCCTCCATTGGTGTGACAGCAGCCTTTGTCATAATCTGTCAGCATATGAAAAAGACATCTAATGGCTAATGCATCCATTTTTTGTGGTGAAATTGACATTGCTGTGTCAATGTCCCTCAAGTGGGCATTGATATGATACCCTACAGTTAGTCCCAATCAAAAAGGGGGTAATTATTAGACTTTCGAGATAAGAGAGCAGAGACAGCCATCAACAAAAAGCCATTTGGGTGATCTTGACATATTATATTGATATTGTGTACATTTTATGCAAGATAAACAAAACACTGATTTAGCATGCACAAGTGTGACGCCTCTGCTTTGCTACTAACCTTAAATGGCTTAAAATTAAATGGCTTTAAATGGCTTTAAATGGCTTAAAATTGTTAAAAACCATAGCTCATCACACACATTGACATACTCACTCGTGGTTAATAGATGCCACTGAAGATCACCTTGCACCTGTCAGGCAAAATATGACAAATCGGCAGTAATTATTCACAAATTGCAGTGCAAAACTAGTGCCTTGTTGCCCTTCTCCAAGGTATATCCCTTCTCCGACACATGCCCCGAGACACGCCCGTCCCCAAGGCCGTACCCCCGTCCCCAAAGAATGCTTGAGCTTTGTTCGTAACAGCTGCGCAGGGTATGTCGAATCTTCGCTTGTCTGATTCCTCTTTTAACTTATTAATGACGTCAAATTCAAATAAACCTCTATTTTAGGACACCAAAAGCATTTATTACAGTGAAAAATTAAATCTCAAAAATTTTTGAATTGTTCAAATACTAAAACAAATTTCTTTGAAATAAACAGCATACCAAGAGTCAAAATAGAAATTAAAAGTAATATATTTTAAAAAGAGAGTCATTATTTTTCATTCATTGTTGTAGTGGTTGCCATGGTTACTACTCATGAAGCACAAGTGTGCGGGCACAACACGTGATTATTTTATGCTTTTTACGTTAGGTAGGGTCTTGCGTTTTACGATTTTTACTACGGGGCAGTAAAGTGAGTTTTTTGCTGTGACTCAGACTGCTGTTTTATTTTGTCAGCAAGTGCTTGACGTTTCACTTTCATCTTTTCATTTTACCGAGGTAATTATGATGATATTTTCAATAAAAATTGATTTTGCTAGGCATAGAAAAAGGAAACAAGTATTTAAATTTTGCATACCCACCAATCTTCCCTTCATTTAAAAGTATTTCCGTGACAATAGCATTTGATTTGCGTTGTTTATTAATTTCATGCCAAACTATAAGTATTTCCTGCTTCTCAGCAGGATAGATATCATGAGTTTTGGGAGGGGACTTTGATGTCAGTTGGCGATCTGTTGCAGGAATCAGGATTGCAAGCCTGAGTGATGGCAGAGACCAAGGCAGAGACTCTCGATGAACTTTCTGAGAAGCTCAGGTCTCAGCTTTTGCTAATTGATGGCAAGCCGAGCGACAAGCTGGCTCGCCGTCGGACACTGGAAGCTCTGCTGAAGGTGGTGGAGGCTGCACCCGTACCCACTGAGGCTGGTAATGCTCCCAGTGACAGCCCGGCCCCAGAGCCTGCCCTGCCCATCACTGAGGTGGTTCAGTGTCTGTCGGACCCGTCGGAGCGGTGCAGGGAGCTGGCAGTGTCCGTGCTGTCGGCCTGGCTGGCGCGGCTGACCGACCGGCGCCCGCTGTGGCCGCCGCTGGTGGCCGCGCTCCGGCAGAGACTGGCAGCGCCGCAGCCGCAGCCGGCTGAGCCGTCGGAGGAGGTGCGTCTGCAGCTGGTGCGGCTCGCCGGGCAGCTGGTGGACTCGGACGGCGCGCAGCTGGCGCCCTACCTGGACCACCTGGTGGCTATATTGGCCGTGGCGCTGGCCGACCCCAGCCCCGACCTCAAGACGGCCGCGTGCCAGGCCACCGGCCGGCTGGCGCGCAGTCTGCCGCGCCACTTTCACCTGCAGAGCGCCTCCCTGGTGACGCCGCTGCTGCGTAATCTGGCGCACCAGCGGTGGCGCGTCCGCGAGCCCTGCGTGCGAGCACTCGGTGCGTAGGCGTGGCGGGAAGCGGGAGCGGGTGGTAGGGAGGCGGTATCGGAACATGGCGAGAGGGGCCGCGGCGAATATCGGAACTGGCGGGAGAGACCCGTCACTGCGTGCTGATCTTGCACTGTCTCAGCTTTGTCGCTGTTGGACGTTAAACATCTCAGTTGGCTCGGTAACGCTGGCTTCATAACTTATGCATAAATAACTCGTGTATGAATCTACACAAATTATGACATGACGTTCATGAATTTTATCCTCCGAATTTGCGAGAAGGGATCGCCTAGATGCCTAACTTTTTAACTTGCTCGCTGAAAATGTTTTACGAGTTATGCAATTTAGCGATGGTATCAAGTCACGCATTGTGCTCCCCTTCCCGCTCGTGCAGGTGACGTGGTGCAGTTTGGTGACAACTCGACCGTTCGTGATGCCGTCTCTCACATGGCCCAGCGGATGTTCGACCAGGTGCCGCAGGTCAGTCATGGTGCAGTAACCGGGAGACATTTATCTCAGTTTAATCAATATCAGAGACTGAATCCTTAGACCAATAAGTGTGTATGGCTGATGCAACTGACGGCGTCTGTTATCTGTGCGAGCAATGACTGACTGTGTATTATTCTGTCTGTATGACAGGTACGAGTGTTGACGTCATTTCTGTGTGTGACAGGTGCGACTTGCGGTGACCGAGGTGGCCGGCCGCTGGCTCGTTGAACTGCCCGATCGGTACTCGTTCTTCGCCAAAATCCTGCCACTTCTGCTGACCAGGTCAGTCATCGTTGTTTACTCGTCCTGACATGACTTCTGGGCTTTGCAACCAGTTTTGTAGTTATGGAGCAAGCAGGATGAAGTATACTTTTACGGCTCTTGATTTAATCAAAAGATGCCATTAATTTAGTGTAGGTATTCGTGTATAGGCTGGTTAACAGTTCTGTCTAATTTTGTCGCGAAACGTGAATGTTAGCCCCTTCGCATTTCGTAACTTTATCTTTTGGATAAGAATAAGCTCGAAATGGCTGTCAAATATCACATCTACATGCTTTGACTAGGTCAAACTAAACTACCAAATCAAACTTGCTTTGAATAAAATATCAATAAATGTAAGAACCTACATAAAAATGAATGCAAATGAACAAAGCAAGCTACACCGTTCGTATTTTTTTTTTTTTTTTTAGCTAGGTGTTTTCAATGCTTGACGTCAAACAGTAGTCATCGCAGGGTGTGCCTTAGCTAGGTGTTAGCTTTACCCACGGCAAATATAGGCCCCAAAAGCCTGTGCTATGCGGAGCACCGCCCATGACAGCGGTATCTGATCGCGCTTTTCATTGGTCGCCCGTCGCTGGCCAAAACCATCGATGAAGCAAACAGTGTGTGGACCAGCCTCATTGTCTTGTATCGCCGCCGGCCCGGTGGTGCGGGGTTCGGGAATGTGCCGTGGGAGTCGGCCGACGCAGCTCCGGGCACCAGGACGTGCTCAGGCTCGGTCTCCGTCCACTCTGACACACAGGCTCTGAACACACATCTGTTCCGTTATCTCGTCCGTCCGTCCGTCCGTCCGTCCGTCACGATGTCGCGGGTCACCGTGCGCCGTGTCCGCTCGGCCAGCGGCGGTGCTCCGTCCGGCACCGAGCGCGGCTCCGGGCGTCCGTCGCTGCTGACGCGGCTGCTGCAGCTCAGCGGGCACGCGTCTCCGCCCGGCTGGCCGTGGCTGATCTACTCGCTCGTCCTCTACCTGGTGCTGACGGCCACTGCGGCCCTGTCCGTGCTGGAGAAGGTGTTGCACGGGTTCGCACTGCGCCAGAAGGGCAGGCGGCCGTTCGCTGTGGCGTTCGAGACGTCTCTGTTCGGTGCGCCGCACGCCCTGATGTGGCTCAGTCTGACGGCCACGCTGTGCTGCAGCCGACGCCGGCTCTGGGCCGTGCTGCAGGAGGCGCGTCGACTGCTGGCTGACGCGGCCGTGTTCCCCAGTCACGGCACCAGCGCGCGCCGCGTGCGGTACCAGGAGACCGCGCTGGCCGCCGCCGTCCTGATGCTGGCTATCCCCTCCTTGATGGCGTTCGGTGCGCAGATGAGTCTTTTTCAAGCGTGTTCGTTCTCCACGAATAGATGTCTCTACAAGCTGCCGGTGATTTTCGCAGTAGTGATGTTTTTCATCACTTTCTTTGTGATTCCGATCAAGCTGACACTGCTGGGATGCCTGTTGTCCGGTGGATACCGCACGGTCAACGCTGAACTGAAGTCCATGGCTAACGGCGAGCGCCTGGTGGACGGGATCGCGCTACGACACCTGCGCCTGTACTACCGTCGGCTGAGTCGCTGCTTCGCCGACGGTGTGGGCGCCATGAACGCCGAGCTGTCGCTGTCCATGTTCACCGGGACCGTCTGCCAGATCATGTTCTACCTCTTCCTGATGGCCTGCCTCAACGACGGCGAGCTGATGAAGCAGCTGCCGGTCGTCAGTGTCATGCTCGTGACGACGCTGATGACCCTGCTGCCGCCCTGTCTGGTGGGACAGCGCCTGCTGGACCGCACCTCCGTCACCCGCGACCTGCTCCTGGAGCTGGACTCGCGCGAGCCGGACGTCGTCCACGAGGTGGCCCAGTTCTCCGGCACCGTGCGCCGCGACCTGGACAAGACGGCCCACCTGAGCTTCTACCGGCTGGAGCTGTCCACCGTGCTCTCCATCACCTCCACCATCCTCACCTACGTGATCGTGCTGGTGCAGTTCTACGTGACGGAGCAGGGCCTGCTCGACCCGCCCGGCCCCCTACCGGAGCTCCGTAACGCCACTCGCCAGCTCGACGGCTGAGGGTGGCTGATCAGTCGTGTCGCCGGGCTCGAGCACCCCGAGCACTTCTTCTTATACGTGTTGACGCAGTTTAAGAATCGTAAACAAGAGTCATAAACCTCTCCTACAATGTGTTTTGTTGAGTCGTTTATGTGAAATACACATACGGGGTAAAGTGGAACTGTTTCAAAGCTTTCTGTTGCATTTGAATAATACACTTAACCGCAGCCTCTCGTGTTTCTCTGCAATCTGCATGCAGGTTCATGTCAATAATTTGAACTAAGAATTGCTGACTAGGCTGAGCATTTATCAAGCATCTAAATTTAGGTTCTAGTCGATATTGACGCCGCGTTACGGACAATTTACTTACTTGTTACTCACGAGTCACGTAATCGGCAGTTGAGTCCGGAGCGAGCATCTGCCAAGCCCGTCAAGGGGTCTGCATAGAGCGGCATAATGTTTTGCAATAGGCGGTATCATGTATGCCGGATAAAGGCGTTACGTTTGACGCTTTGAGGACCCGCTGGTGTCTGTTAATCATTTATTTATCAAGGCATAAGTTTGGCTCTCCCGAGCCTTGTTTTTGTTTGGCAGTGTGCCTTGATCACTGCCCTCCCCGTCAGTTTGCTCCTAGCCTTTGTTTATTTAAGACCCTGCCAGCGTATACCTATCTGTTTTGATTCATCCACAAGCTGTAAACATGGTTTTGCCTCATCATCGTTTTGGCACCCGAGTCCCTTAAGCCTTACCATTGTGATAGTGGCAGTGTCTTTCCCACCCTGCGAACGGGCTCCACGGCACGTCCCGGTGTGTTGGGACCCCTCGCTCCAGACGCTGACTCAGACTGCCATGATCCCGTCACGGGGCGGTAGGGGGGACGGTCACGGGTCGGTCGCGACCGGCGCTGCGCCGTTTTTCTGGCCCCGACCGGCCGGCCGGACGCCGACCGTCCGGTGCTCTATCGGGCCTCGTGCCAGCCAATCCTGCCGGTCTGCGGGCGGCGCCGCGCTGTGGCGCAGTCAGCCGCCGGCCGCGGCTCGGTGTCGGTAGTCGGGCTGTGTAAGTGCGGTCGTGCTCGGCGCCCACTGGGAGTGAGAGATCCGCCCGCCGCCGGTATGGCGCTGTTCTGGCCTCGCTGGCTGACGGCGCTTCTGGTCGGGATAGCGGCGGCAGCGGCCGGCCCGACACCGCTCGAGTGTCCGCTGCCGGACGGCCCCGGCTCGGCGTCCCCGGCCGTGTGCGCCCGGTACACCGCCTGCGTGTGGACCGGGACCAGCTGCCGACTGACGGACCGGGTCGGCTACCGCGTCCAGAAGACGGCGGGCAACAGAGGGCCCACCCGCCACCTGCGGCTCACCAAACTCACCGATGCTACACTGTTCGGTGGTGATGTTCAGGAGCTCGCACTGACCGTCACGAGACACGATCGACAGAGGATGAGACTCACGGTGAGTTGGATAACTCAGGTCATGAGTTGCACGTTGTGCTTATGAGTTTGCACTAAACATTTTCATTGCATTGAAATGAGAGAAAACCATTGCAGAATGAGAATGTGAGTATTTTTCTCTTCAATTCACCAAGCTCAGATGGCAAGTGGATGTCAAAATCGCTGCATTTCTACTTTCGAGCTCCTACTTGACCTCTTATTAAAACTTATGTCAACGATTTTAGGACTTATACCGAAATCCGTTTTTCACCAAGCCGTCCTGTTTCAGTTCCGCGACTCGGCGCGGCCGCGGTACGAGGTACCGCTGGCTCTGGACCTGCCCTCACCTGGCGTGCGGGCTCCACGACGAACGGAGTACGGCATCCATCTACCCGGCCAGCGCTCCCAGGAGCCGTTCTCAGTGGGCGTCTCTCACGCCGGTCGGCACGCGCTGCGAGTGCTACCCCAGCTGACGTACAGCGATCAGTTTGTCGAGGTGACTCTGCAGCTCGCCGCCCAGGATGTATACGGCATGGGAGAGAACAACCACGACAGTTTCCGGCACGATCTAGATGCCGCGATCACGTGGCCCATCTTCGCTCGAGACCACCCGCCAGAGAGTGCCCGCGAAAACCTGTACGGTGCACATCCGTTCTTCGCTGCCATCGAGGACGACTCGGGGCGCAGTTTTGGGGTGTTGTTCCTCAGCAGTAACGCCATGGAGTACAAGGTGTTCCGTCTGAACGGCACGGCTGCGGTGACGTTCCGAACCGTCGGCGGCATTCTCGACATGTGCCTGTTCTTCGGCCGCTCGCCGCTGGAGGTGCTGCGTCAGTACCACCTGACCATCGGCCGGCCGGCGCTGCCCTCGTACTGGGCGCTCGGCTTCCAGCTGTCTCGGTTCGGATACCGCGGGACCGACGACATCCGGCGGATCCACGCGCGGAACCGCGCCGCTGGTATACCCCAGGACGTCCAGTACTCGGACATCGACTATATGGACACCCGGCGCGACTTCACCGTGCAGCCAAAGCAGTTCGGGGACCTGGCGAAGCTGGTCGGGGAGCTGCGGGGTGAGGGTGTCCACCTGGCGCTGATCTACGACCCCGCGCTGGCCATTGACTTTGGCAGCTACCCGCCCGTGGACCGCGGCGTGGCGGCAGACGTGTTCGTGCGGTGGTGCAACAGTAGTCTGGTGCCACCAGACCAGTGTGTCGGCTGCCGCGACTATGTGGTCGGCTACGTGTGGCCGCAGAACAAGACCCTGTTCCCGGACTTTTTCCAGAGCGCGACGGTCAGCTGGTGGACGGATGAGATGCGGCGGTTTTCAGAGATGGCCGGTGGACCCGACGGCTTCTGGATCGACATGAATGAACCGTCGAACTTTGGCACGAATATGGATAAACCCTTCAACTGGCCTAACAACCTTCCACCGTGGAGTCTAAAATGTCCGCAGAATAATATCGATAGCCCGCCTTATCCCACTATGTATGTGAGAGATCCTGACAACGAAAGCAAGCGCCTGTCGGATAAAACTATCTGCATGTCAACTAAGCACATCAACGATGTCTTTCCTGCTCCGTTTACTAGACCTGCATACCGTCACCCAGGATCTAGTGAACGAAGGCACCGAGGACACCGCGCCTGGAGGAAGCATTCCCTTGCCAACCAGCCACCGCAGGATCGTCAGGAGCTCCTCCACTACGACACGCACAACCTGTACGGCTGGTCGGAGACGCACGCCACGCGCCGGGCGATGGACGTCGTGCTGGGCGGCCGCCGCGGTCTGCTCGTCGGCCGGTCCACCTTCCCGGGCGCCGGACGGTGGGCGTCGCACTGGTTCGGCGACAACACGGCGCGCTGGAACGACATGCACCGCTCCGTGGTGCGCATGTTCGAGTTCGGCATGTTCGGCATCCCACACGTCGGTGCGGATATCTGCGGCTTCAACGGCAACACCACCGAGAACCTCTGCCTCCGCTGGATGCAGCTGGGAGCGTTCTACCCGTTCTGTCGCAACCATAACACTGACGACGGGATCGAACAGGACCCGGCCGCCTGGCCGTCGGTAGCAGCTGCCTCTCGTGACGCCCTCGGTCTGCGGTACCGCCTACTGCCGTACCTGTACACCCTGATGTACCGCGCTGCTGCGTTCGGCGCCACAGTGGTTCGGCCTCTGGCCTTCGAGTTCCCAACTCATCCGGAGCTGCGCGGAGTCGACACTCAGTTCCTCTGGGGCAGTGGTGTGATGGTGGCTCCGATTCTCTCGGAGCAGAGCCAGACGCGAGTCCAGGTCACCTTCCCTCCCGGAGACTGGTTTGACCTGCGGAACGGCTCCTTGGCACACTCGTCTAACGTCACGACTGCAGTGACCTACTATGTGCCGCTCTCGCAGATGATCCCGGTGTTCGCTCGAGGCGGCGCCGCGCTGCCGATGCAGCCAAACGCCTCCACCACTGCGGAGAGTCGCCGCGGCGCCTTCTGGCTGGGCGTGTTCGGCCGGCGCGCGCGCGGAGAGCTCTACTGGGACGATGGCGAGTCGAGCGACTCCCTGGACAGCGGCCACTTCTACCACTGCTTCTTCCACTTCTCCGGCGGCGTGCTGAAGACGCTGGTGGACAGCGCGCAGACGCAGTGGATGGAGACGCCGCTGCTGCAGCGGATCATGTTCCATGGCGTGCCGAAGCCGGCCTCGGTGACTGCCGACGGTACGACCGTGCCCGCGGCACAGATTCGCTATGAGAGCGGGGTGCTCACTGTCACTGTGCAACTGCACATGGGCAAAGACCATGTGGTACAGCTGTATCCGGGCAAGGAGTCCGTGCCGTAATCCAATTGGGCTGATTGAAGCTGTGAAACTTAAATGTTAATTTTGTGGGTCTGGCATCAGTAACAATTGACTAACCGGTGACCGAACATAATTACATGCATCAGCTCGTCATGCGGAATGCGAGCGAAAATGTATTGTATCACTACTCGCCGCAAGAGATAAGACGTTGTTCTGTCCGTTTACGCACAGGTATGGAACGTTGCTATGCTTTTTCCCTGGTGTTTTACGAGAAACGTTATCCATGCTGATTGCTCTGCCTCTGTCATATAACTGTCCCGTATAGCGAGATTGCTACTGGCGAAACTAGAACAAGGGTTTCTCAATAAACGTATTGCAAACGGTACCCATTGTCTTTCTCATATTCCAGTCGTCTTGCTTTTATTCTGACGGTGCACCTGCTTGCTTGTCACAGAAATTGATCAGGTTGTCCCCGGGACACGTTCACTCACAGTGCCAGGTACTGTTCTTCGGACCTCGTCGCCCTTTTCGTTGTTGAGCGACGAGTAAAAAGAGAGAAATGAATCTGGCAGAAAGTTAAAGTGATCTGCATCCTTCTTTCAGTGTGTTACTTTTTATTCCTTAGTTTTAGACGAAATGTTCCAAGGGGTTAAATGGAAATATGCCACGCTTGATATTGATTCGATGGAGCAGCCGATGGTTCTCCGCAGCAAATTGTTTCCCCGAATCCCTCGAATGATATTGCACCCATTCATCATAAAATGACAGGTGTCTCCCATTCCATTATCGTATAGATATTTTCCCTATCGGCTGTGAATTTGATCAGTTTCTGCGATACCATTGCCGCTCTAGACCTCGCGACTGCCGATGCTCTCGGTGATGGATAAGGCATGGGCCATGGGTCACAATGATCATAATGAACAGCTTCAAGATCGTACGAATTTCATCATGGTGCATGGAAATATGTGACTCGATGTTGGTGTGCCTTTATTCCGGTCGCCTAGGCGCGGAACGCAAACTTCAGGTCTACCTTTGCAAAGGCTTGTTTTACGTCATGTGCGTCTTTTGGGCCAGAGTGCAAATACGTTCCCAAAAGGCGTTCTCTACTCCAATAGGGTGGTACGGCAAGTCTGAAGCATCTTGACAAACCATCTATGCATCAATTGATCCCACGTATTTGTCAATGTTGACGGCCTGCGTCGATCAACGTCGACAATGGCCCAGTACCTATGGCAAGTAGAATAGAACACTTGTTGACGTTATTGACGTTTGCCCGAAGTTTGAAGAGCGCGGTCTGAAAGTTTTGAAGGTTGAAAGAAAGCTTTCGAAGATCGGTGGTTTGCTAGCACAAAAACTCGGCCTGCCGACAGATCGCTGAATTGATGAGCAGAGAGGGCGGGGCCATTGTCTGGTACCATTTGGGGTTATGAATGGGTACTAATTAAAGTCGTTTTTAATGTCACTTCGTAAGGATATAGGGCGAGGCCAAAGAGACGGATCAGTATTATTGTATCACCATTTTTCTCTTCATTCCTGAGGTTAGCGATCGTGCTTGGTAATGTGTTGTAGGGCTCTGAGCTTGTGTGTGGGACGACTGCATACCAAAAGATGTTAGTACATTTACGAACCTTTACCTGACCTTAGCAATGGCAGTTTATTCCGTATAAGCTGCACGACTTATGCTATCAACGTGTTCACCAGGTGCCCAAGACTGGCTTCCTCAGCTGCACCGCCGTCTCCCCATTACGCTCACCACTCCCTCCCCTCGCATGCACTCCGTGTGTTATCGGTCGCCCACACACACCCGCTTACTGTTCCAGCCTGCGGGACGGCGCCGCCTCCGTCAGTGAGCGAGCCGAACAGCTGTGGGAGGAGGCCGGCCGGCAGTACCTCGCCGAGAACGAGGAGGAGAACCGGCAGCTCATCAACTACCCGGCGCCGCCCCCCGACGGCTACCCGGCTCAGTGTAAGTATCCTCCCCTCGACGGATACCCGTCTCAGTGTCAGTATCCTCCCTCTGACGGCTACCCGGCTCAGTGTCAGTATCCCGACGGATACCCGGCTCAGTGTCAGTATCCTCCCTCTGACGGATACCCGGCTCAGTGTCAGTATCCTCCCTCTGACGGCTACCCGTCTCAGTGTCAGTATCCTCCCTCTGACGGCTACCCGGCTCAGTGTCAGTATCCTCCCTCTGACGGCTACCCGGCTCAGTGTCAGTATCCTCCCTCTGACGGCTACCCGTCTCAGTGTCAGTATCCCGACCGCTACCCGGCTCAGTGTCAGTATCCTCCCTCTGACGGCTACCCGGCTCAGTGTCAGTATCCTCCCTCTGACGGCTACCCGGCTCAGTGTCAGTATCCTCCCTCTGACGGCTACCCGTCTCAGTGTCAGTATCCTCCCTCTGACGGATACCCGGCTCAGTGTCAGTATCCTCCCTCTAACGGCTACCCGGCTCAGTGTCAGTATCCTCCCTCTGACGGCTACCCGGCTCAGTGTCAGTATCCTCCCTCTGACGGCTACCCGGCTCAGTGTCAGTATCCTCCCTCTGACGGCTACCCGGCTCAGTGTCAGTAGTACCAACGGCTATCCGCCTCAGTGTCAGTATGATTACTTTCGATTTCACATGATTAGTAATGGTTACTCGTTTTTTTCTTATACCCGTCGCTGCCTATGTTTAGCGCCCGGCGCCTGTATCCCTCCGTCCTCCCTGACGTTTCCCCTCCCCCCACTCACAGACTCTCGGCCGCCGCTGGGCTGTCGGCTGCTGGCCCAGCGCTGTTTCTGCACCCTGCTGCCGGGCGCGCTGGCCGACCTCACCGACTGGGTGGCGCCCACCCGATTGAAGGTGGCCCAGCTGCTACACGTGCTGGTACTGCACCAGGAGACGGCCGTCACCCAGCACCTGCAGAAGCTGGTGCCGCCGCTGACGGCAGCGCTGGGGGATGATGAACAGGAGGTGGTGCACTGGGTGAGTGGTGGGAACGGGAGGGGAGAGAATGTTGTGTGATGGGTGTTAGAAGGGAGGGGAGAGAGGTAAGGATAGGGGCAGAGGTCAGTCAGATGTGATAGACATTAGACTGGGCTAGTGCTACACGGCAGGAGGGAAAGTTCCAGTAGTGGACGGGGACGATGGTTTGATGGGCCATTCTCGGATTGGGTGAGCGGCGATATATTGGAGAATCGCATGCAAGCTTCCTTACCGAACTATTTGACCTTCCCATTCCCCGGCAGTTTTCACTTTGAGCCGGTCTGACGGCACCTTGTCACAGGTGACTAGGACGGCAGAGCTACTCGGCTGTTTCGTCCCGGACTCGGCGCTCACTGAGGTGGTCCTCAAACCCATCACCGGCGAGGGTGAGTGAACGAGACAATGTAGAGTACTGCCGAGGGGCTGCGGTGGTCTTCTGAGACAGAACATATACTAAGCAGGCAGCCTCAGGCAAGGCCGGTTGTCTGGCTCACTAAGTGTTAACGATATACAGTTGAAACGATGATGGCCTACATGTGATGAGCTATCACGTTTTCCGTTCCGACAGCATCTCCGCTTCGTTACGAAGCCTACCAGTCAGTTGTCATGATCGCGGGACGTAGGTTATGTTTCCCGATCGGTTTCCAATATAATTCTCTGTTCTACTAAACCCCTTTCAACCCCTTCCCCAGGCGCGTCCACGGGTCGCCAGCTGCTCCTCCTGGCCGCCTGTCTGCGCGGCCGACCTCAGCGCCACCTGGTGGCCGAACAGGTGGCCGAGACCGTCAGCGCACGAGACGTCTGTCAGTCACACGAGGTGAGTGGTGTGGTCACAGACGGCCTGTCGAAAAGTGAGCATAAAACTAACAGACCGTGATTGCTGCTAGCCTCAGAATATTCATCCCTTATCGGTTAGCCTTGCTGGACAGTGAGCAACATTCTTGAGACAGTGCAGTCTCGTCGTCAATGCTCGTTAGCGCAGTATCTTGTTTTAGGGAGAGCCCTGTCTGTGCCCTGACCGTGCCTTGTCCGTACCTTGCCATACCAGCTAGAAAGTCTCCCACTGGGTGACTGACACGGACTCTCATCACCAGCCGGAGCGTCAGCGGGGCCTGCTGGCCGCCCTGCCGGAGTCGGACCCGTTCCATAGTCACATACTGCCCGTGCCTCCACTGAGTACCGACTGTCTGTGTGTCCGTCTCCTCACCAGCCGGAGCGTCAGCGCGGTCTGCTGGCCGTGACGGCCGCGCTGCTGGACTCGGGCCCGGACCTACCGACCGGCGCCGTACCGCCCCTGTTCGCCCTCCTGGTCACCGTGGCCGGACACGCTGACACAGAGAGCGAGACGGCGGACACCGCGGCGGCGCTACTCTCCCGTCTGGCCGAGGTGGCCGGCCGCTCTGAGGCGGCGCTCCTCTCCGAGCTGGGCCCGCCGCTGCTGCAGAGACTGGCTGAGGATGCCGAACTGTGGACGGCAGCCAGTTCGGACCTGCTCACGCTGCTGGCCCTGCTACGGTGCTCCGGTGAGTCGGCCGTGTCGTGAGGTGGTTGGAGGGTGAGGAATGGCAGTAATTGACAACATTGTGGTGCAAGTACGCACAGAGGGAGGTTATATGTGACCATACTTGTTTTTCTGGTGTATTAGGTTATATGTAGCAATACTGTTGTTTGTTATCTGACATCAAGAACTTTCTAAATAAGCGACATGAGAGGGGTGCCGTTGACGCTGACGCGTTGTACTCTTATATTCCCCAGCGAGTCCGCCGGAGCCGCTGCCGTGTCTGTGTCTCATATGTCGTGTTTTCCCCAGCGAGTCCGCCGGAGTCTGTGCTGCGCCCGTCGCTGCCGGTGCTGGCCGCCTGCTGCCGCCCGGACCGTCCGGCCCCGCTGCGGCTGGCCTGCTTCTCCCAGCTGTGTCGGCTGGTGACCGTCTGTCCGCCGGCCGTGATCCGGCCGCTGCTGCACAGCGTCACTGACGGTGAGCGGGCGGTACTGTTGACTCGGCGGAAAGGAAAGCACCTCTAGTTGTATATGTTGTTATTAAACTAGCTCCCAATAAAACTATAAAGCTGGTGTCAAAACAACGTTTTTACACGTTACACAGAAAGCACCTCTATAAGTGCGATGCGTTGTTTACGGTACTCATTTTTTTTTTGTAGATTCTGCTTTGTTTTCTGCTCGTTCAAGCCTCGGTTACATGTTTGAGCATTTGTCGAATAGGAAGTTATGAAATTAGGAAAATAGCATGTTTGGCTCGATAAAAGATAGAATATGGTCATTAGGAACGAATAAAGAATGAGTCCGATAAGGGCCTTAGCTTAACCTATAATCGTCGTTGCTGTCCCCAGATATCGTGGCGCCAAGCCTGGTGTGGCACCCGGGCCGGTCGGACGCCGCCATCCGCACTGCTGCCCTCGCTCTGCTGCTGGCCGAACTACAAGTACCAGAGCTGGCCGCCGCGGAGCTGACGGCCGACCATGAGAAGCTGCTCACAGCCGTGGTTGGTGCGTACGGTGGTCGGAGTGTGGCCCGGGCAGGGACGACGATGGAATATGTATCATGGGGATATTGGGATTTGTTCGATAGTTTGCCGAGTCTGGTATTTGTCAATATCAAAGCCGTGCCATGCTGTGCATGTCTGGAAGCCGATTGCACCGTGTTAAAGTGTCTGACTCTCAAACAGAGTGGCCACTCGATGAATGACTAAAATGTACTCACTCTGTCCATTTCAGGTCTTTTGGAGGACGAGAGCCGCAAGACCCGTCTGTTCTGCGCCCGTGCTATCCGCTCGCTGTTATTACTAACCCTGCCCGGGTCGCTGCCGGTGCAGCTGCTCCACAACACTGCCACTGGTCAGTAGGTGACACACGGGTGCGGTAGCACACCGGTTAACGCCGGGAATATACGGCGTTGTCCTGGCATGTGCTCTTATCATGTTAATACAGGTCGGTCGGAGATTTATGATGTTATCCCACTTGATTACTTACCTTTATGAGAAATTTTACGTTAACCTTTGGTAATGTCCCGAATGAATTACTGTGTGACGTACATTTTACGTCATAATTTTAATGTAAATGTCTATCATTCAGACAATGTTTTATCCCTGTATTGGCTCCCTGCCGTCCCCAGAGCTGCTGAAGCGGCTGGACGACACTGACGGCGAGGTACGGCTGTGCGCGGCCGGCGCGGTGCCGGCCCTGGTCACCGCTCTGGGACCCGACTACTGCGGCCAGCAGTGGCGCGGGCACGTCGAACACTTTGCGCAGACGCTGTTCGTCTTCCTGGATGACGCCGACGAGAGACTACAGCAGCTGGCGTACGGTGAGTGAGCTGCAGGTTCAGCCTGCGATGTTGGTGTAAATTATGGGAGGGTTCGCTCCGCAGTTGGTTGGGTGCTGCTTTGAGGAGTCTGGTGTTTCAGAACAAAGTGAAGTATGAGTTGAGTGTTGTGTATTGGGAAGTGCCTTCTGGCGTCAACATTGCAATCTTACCAGGAAGTTTGTCACTGCCATGTTTTCTCGATTGTGCTTTTCCGCTTCCTTTCGTTGTCCGCTGTTGACGGTGTGTTTCGGCGTGTGTCCGGCAGAGGCGCTGCTGTCGGTGGGCCGTCTGAACGCGGCGGTGGTGTGTGAACAGACCAACGTACACCGGGACAAACAGCGCAGTCCGGCGCGCTGTGACCAGCTGCTGCGCGCGCTGACACCGGCCGGCGCGGGGGGACAGTGACCGGGCCCGGCGGCCGGCGCGGGGGGAGAGTGACCCGATCCGGCGGCCGGCGGGGAGGGACAGTGACCCGACCCGGTGGCTGGAGTGGACTGAGGGAGAGAGTGGTGATTAGAGCCCAGTAAAATCACCAGGGCGATGACTGTCGCTGTCGGTCGGAAAAATGTCCGATAGTCAGCGGGCCGAGGCTGTCCATTCCGTCAAACAACCGTTCCGCCTGAGCTGCCGCCGCTCGGTAGCTTCCATCCGTCCATTGTATCTCCGCCCGGCCGGCGATATCCACTAGTCAGACAAGTAGCAATAAACAAACACTGCCGAACAGTCGGCGTTGCAGCCTGCAGGCCGCGTGCACTCCGCTCTTACGCTCGACCGTCGACGTCACATGTGTCAGTGACGTGTGTGCGCCGAGCTGGACACGGGCCAGAGATCGCTTCCAGTGTGCTCGCCCGTCACGCGGACTAGTGTGGTGTTCTGCAGTTTTGCCGGTGCTGTTTTATGTCCAGTTGGTGAGTCCGGCAACGCTGCGAGCATGTTTAGGTACGTTTTACAGTTCAGTGATATTTTCATTGTGTATTATTTATACGCCATTCATCATTAAATGTTTGATTCGTGAGCGAATGTTTGGAAAGAGAAGGTGTTTTCAAGTGAAAGTAACGACACTGGGATCGTAATTAATCAGCACATCTGCTCTCTTATAGTAAAGAAGAGGCAAAGAGTCAAGCCAAGAGTGGCGCTGTCCAAGCTGACGGAACGATGGTAATGAGGTGCATGGATACGTTTGAATTCAAAGTGCAAGAATCTTTAGGCGGTATTGTATTGCAAATCGTGTGTTCTTAGGGCAGACCAGTGAGAGGGTAAAGCCCGAACATAATTTGGCAAAACCAAAGGAATAAAGAAATGACATTCGTGACAGGATACGTCAAGATTGCTTGGCTTTACCAAGATTACTTTACTACTCGGCTTTACTGCTAAGTCGCCACCTAAAAGTTAGAAGCAATATGGCAGCTTTATTACGATGCAATATTAGCGCAGTAGTGACAAAACATTTTATTCTATTTATAGTTTGCTTTGCGCACAAATCACTATCCGCAGCTTCTAATGGTCATCTTTCGTCATCATCAGAAAACACATGAATATGATTTGCGTATTTCTGCTCTTAATGTATTCTTAGAACATAACTAGCTTTCTTCCATTACCGATTTTCTTTTCGAAAAATTACCGCGCGCGCGCATTTTAGCATTGCTAAGTTATGTTCCAAGGGCTGTCAACGTAAATGTCAGGGCCCTATAAATGTAAGTGCTGTTAGTGTTATTTGTTTTGTAATGTCTTTTTTTTGTCTGAAGTGTTGTAAAATAACCATCATAAAAGGAAGGGGGTGAAATTCTCTTTTTGCACCCTAGGCTCTAAAATCATTAGAAACCACATACTGTCAAAAACAAACCTACTTAACGTAACCTCACCTTGCCAGAATCAGTTGTGTGCATGGGTGTGTCTCATAGATGTTTTGTGTGAAATGTATTATAAGTAATTGATGCGACAACGTCCAAAGATGCCCAACAACTATCTACGAAATGATATACACTCAACCCTGTTATTTGATTTAGGTACTTTTATTATAAGTTTACTACTAGGTATTACAATTAAAGGGACCCTCCCACCTTAACATTAGTTTTGAGTTGAGATAGCCAAGTTTGCGGCCAGGCTCAGAAACCACCATTTATCTTGGTCGCAACCCCCGCAGCTTTATGGTGTTCAAGAAATTTCTTCCCTTTACTTGCAGGGTGGGACCAGCGTGGTCCCTATCTCTTAACCATTACGGGAATCTGATGACGTCATCAGGCTTTCAAACGTCCGTTAAATGTTTGACTAAAACGTTTTGTAGCACGCGGTGGTATATGCTGCTTTGCGCGCAACAAATGCCGCACTTTCAAATAAAGTCGCTAGGAACAGCGGAGATCCCAAAAAGTAAACAAAAGTAAAAGTCTAATATCTTGAAAACCGGTGAATATTTTTCGATGAAATTTGGTAGATATTCGTTTTTGCTCTTTCTGAACCGAGCGACATCACTTTCATGCCAATTCATTAACTTTTTTTAAGGTGGGAGGGTCCCTTTAAAAGAAATATACCACTTTTAACATTGAGTTTTGAACTGGAATAGTAGTTTGTAGCTCGAGCTGACTAGCACAAATCAGGGGCTTTTATGCCCCAACAATCACCCTTAACCCTAGCCCCTAGGCAAATATATTCCATTCTTCATTCCGAAAAGAATGGTGCCTTGTAGAGGAAACTGAGGAATGTGTCACTTGTAGAAGAATGCAGCCACCTGTTGCAGAGGCTGAGGTCAGCCAATTAGCAAGCAGTTGAACTAAGCAATATGATTGGTCAATGCGTAATAAACTTCTGGGCCACCACTATTTAGTCTCTGCCAAAGATGGAACATAATGGTACTTGGGGTAATACTTGTCACAATTTTTGTGGAGAACCCCACAAATGTAATACAATACAATGTAATACAATACAATACAATAGTTCTTCGTATATGAAAAAGTTTTTAAAAATCCTTTTGTCAATATTAATTTTCTTTTCTTTTCTGATCATGTTATGCATAAAAATAAAACTAGCAAAAATTAAATTCAGATCAGTGGTATTTTTCCTGTAACAGGCCCATTAAGTGTCAATCACATTAAGAGATGACAACAATTTGTTATCAGCAATATTAAGTTATGATTTTAAAAGAACTTTTCAGGGGCTGCTTGCTTATACAGCACCTCAACATCATCTTTCTTTTTCTGTTTAGTGCCAAAATGAATGAACTATGCATAGAACAAGAATGTTATTCATCGGGCTCGGAAGGACTGGCCAGCAAAATCAAGGCCGTCTCGCAGCTGGTGAAGAGGCGGCGCCAGCAGGTCGCCCAGCGGAGGACCATGCTCCGTGAAGCTGTCCGCTCTCTACTGCAGCCGGTGGAGGCTGCTGTACCAGCGCCGGCCTCCCGTCTGCCCGGCCTGGTGGCCCGCACCGCCTGGCAGAGGCTCGTCTCGGAACGTTGGCTTGTTGCCACAGATTTGACCAATGAAACATCCACAGAGGTGGCACTGCCGCATCTGCTGGCCTGCGGCGGGTGGCACGGGCCCGTGGCGTACGAGTCTCGCCTGGCGGCCGCGCCGTTCGAGCTGAGCGCTCCGGCGCCGGCCGCCGGCCGCCTGTCGCCCGGAGCGACCGTGCGCCTCATAGCGGTGCTGGACGAGCCGCCCGTCTGCGGCGGGGGCTGTCGGCTGATGCTGACGCTGGCCTCCGGTCCGGAGGAGCCGCGGCCGGCCAGCGCCGCCGGCTTCTACCAGCTGCCGGCCGGCCGCGTGACGCTGACCGCCGACCAGCGGCTGGCGCGGCGACACTCCCTGTTCAGCGGTCCAGGTCCGGACGCGGAGGCCGACGTGCAGGCGCTGTGGGCGCTGTCGGGCCGGCCCCTGCGCCTCCGCCTGCCGCGGACGGCCCATCTGCACTTGCAGGCGGCCAGGCTGCGGCTCGAGCAGGATGCCTTCATACCTGTTCTGGCGGCGCTCACTCGAGCCGAGCCAGGTGACCCGCTGTTTGGCTGCCTGGTGCTGCTGGCCGAGGAAGCCGACAACCGAGAGGCCGCCGCCGGCGCGCTGACAGCCGCGCTCTGGAGCAGGACGGAGCGGCAGATGGCGCTGCTGCTGCACCATCTGCGGCGGCTTCTGGGGTCAGCGCTGGAACTGCAGCGGCGGCCGGAGCCGGAGCCGGAGCAGGGGCAGGAGCCGGGCGCCGCCGGCGCACAGCACCTGCGGCGCGCCCTGCTGGCACAACTGCAGTTCGCCGAGGCGCACATAGGTGACAGCACTGGTGGTGGTGCCGAGCGGCGCGCACTCCGACTCGGGGATGTGCACGTGCCGCTCTCAGAGTACGGCCGCTGGAGACGGCGGCTGGCCCAGCTGGAGTTGGAGGCTGCTATGTGTGCGCTGCAGCTGGCCGAGCGGCAGCCGGCCGCTCTGTGACGCTACTCCGCGGCTGGGCGGCACAGCTGACCATGGACACCCGCGGTGTGCTAGTGAAACCGCCTTGATGGCACACACCAGCTGTGCTTGACTCTAGCGATGTGCACTGTGAACGTTGTCTGTGACTGGTGTCGTGGTCTGCCTTGCGGTTGTCTTTCGCTCATGCAGTGATGGTTAAATGGACCGGGAGGATCGTTTAGCTGACAGTGTTTGTGGGATATCGCGTGTAACGGTTGGATAAGTGCTATAAATGCCCTGTCGGCTAGCCGCCGGCGGGCGTCCGAGCAATGACCGAGCGCCAGACAGTGATGTGTGTCAGTCCTTTCTCTGGCATTTCGACACTGCGCACTGGCGAAAAAAGTGTTTGTTGGTTATGTGAACGGCAATAACTTTTCCTTTGGTTCGTTGTATCTGGAACTCATCCCGTTCATTGGCTGTATGTGTGTGTGTGTATCCGGTAATGCTTTAGGAGCACAAATACCAGGCCGAGTCCAGTCAGCCTAGGCCAAGGCAGAACCAGAACCAGACCGTCAAACTTGTGATCATAGGCTGCTTTCTATAGAATAAAATAGCTAACCTTTATTGAGTGATTTGGTGTCTTTTACACTGGCCATCTGCAGTCCATGCACAGTGGCTTTGGGGAGCCAACCTGGATCTCTTCAGTCTTCACTGTGGCTCTGATGAGACTGAAGAGACATCACAAAAAGGTTGACCTGCAATGGCTGTTGGGGTGCATTAATGTCTATTTTTTTCTTCAAATAAAATATTTGTTTCCATCAACTAACTTTTCTCAGTCTCTTATGCTAAGTTATCTCCAGTTCTGCTTATGGAAATTTAATTGACCCACTCCCCCTGTAACCGGTTATCTGATGGCTACGCTACGAACTTCTCCCCCGAGTCCCGACGTCCAACACCTCTCCTTCCGGTATTGGCTCACTTTATCGACACGTCTTGCCGGCAGCGGTAGCGCTGCGCCGCCCGGCATGACGGCGCACAACCGGCCGCAGCGAGCCGCGCCGACCATCGACCTGATAACGACGGCCCCCGGCGGCGGCGGCGGCGGCGGCGGGCCGGCCGGGCAGTCCGCGCTCGGTCCCCGTCCGACTCACAGCGCCGCCGACCGCCCGCAGGCTGTTCCGCCTCGCCTCCGCCGCCGCCGCAGCAGCCATGATGATCAAAGGTACCGTGGTGGTGTACTCTATACCGGCGTGCCCGCACTGCCGCACGGCCAAGGCCACGCTGACCCAGCGCGGCCTACAGTACGTGGACGTGGACCTGGAGCGGTTTCCCCATCTGCGGCCCTGGCTGCGAGAGACGACCGGCAAGACCAGTGTGCCGCAGATCTTCTTCAACAGCAGACACATCGGCGGCAACAGCGAACTGCAGGACCTGGTGAGTTGGCCGGGCCGGGATCCAGGTGTGGGGTGAAAATCGCTTACTTGTTCAGTATGCGGGCGTTGTAAATGCATTATTCAGTAGCGCATTACGTATGTCGTTATGGCGCATCACGATAGCGCCTTACGCTTGTCGACAACTAAGCTTCGCTGATGCATAAGTACGTTCTATTTGTTTCTTTGCTTTTTTGCTCTAAGGTAAG